TAGGTTTGCTCTACTTAGCGTATTGAGCATTTTACTTAGTTATTTTTCTTACTCGTATCGGGATATTTTTTGTCTTTGGACTCTAAACATGGATGCTAGACGATTGTCTTCGGCTGACGTACATGTTCTCTGTTCTTTCTTTTTTTTGTACCTTTTTCCCCCTGGGTATTGGTCTGTTTATTTGCATATCAAAGTACCTAGGGTTTTCCGGACGAGTATAATTCCTTATATTTATAAGATTAGTACTATATATATATATATATATATATATATATATAAAGCGCACAGTGAGTGTTGGTTATAAATTTGCGTGTCCTGGAACCTGCCCCTTTTCCTCATAAATTTATTACGAATATGATGTAGGATAACTTCTTTTTTTTTAAATTAAGATAAAAATAAAAAAAATAAAATAACAATAAAAGTTATAAAAAAAAACATTGAGATTTTTTTTTAATCTAGCCGATATGAAATTAGCTAGATTAAAAAAAATGTAAATTTATTTAATTCCCATCGTCCTTCGTTCATGCGCGTGCGTAGTCGCACCAACATAACCAATTTAGTCCTATGAAGTCCTAAAGAAAACATTTTCCACTTTGTAATGCATTTATATATATATATATATATATATATATATATATATATATATATATATATATATATATATATATTTAGGTTGTCAAAATAATGACGAAGAATGTCGTTTTTGACGTTAAAAAATACGTCAAAAAACGACATTATTACGTTATTTTTGCCAACCTAATAATATATATATATATATATATATATATATATATATATATATATATATATATATATATATGTGTGTGTGTGTGTCTTTGTCTTTGGCGGGACAATGTCTTTATGAAATATATAATGTGTATGTCATGTTGAAAAAACATTTCGGGGGCCAATAATTTTAATATATTGTTTAATCTTTTTTTCTTTCTTTTATTTAGATAGTCATGTAACTGCTGCCTGGAAAATAATTACCGTTGGAACTTTTTACCATTCCGTAGCCTTTGTGTATTGTCAAGACATCCAAACGGAAGAGACTTCACTAACTCAGGTGAGATTATCAACGAAAAAAAACTCTTCATGGCCATATTAGGTTGAGTCAGAATTGATTTCCGTTTTGGCGGACCAGTCAAAATGTAATTTTAAAACCAATTTGAAATAGCTAGATGCAACCGTCTGTTCTACTGTAATAGTTGCTTCTTTCGAATTTCCCACCTATGGAGATCACTTCCGGTTTATTGCTTCACTGCCACCTACGATCTTCAAAATGCAACATCAGTCGCCATCTTCTTTCTTCCTGATTTCCGTTCTCTTACCCGGTACTAGCGTCTCCTCTTTTTCTTTCACTCTCATTAACCCCTTACGTTTTAGTGGGATTATCGCCTAGCGTAAAGGGGGTGATGTAGTTGTATAATCCTAGCTGCTAATCATAGGTAGCATTTAAGAATAAATTTGGATTACACTGTACGGCTTTGGTGAAGGAACTGAAAGTGAATTTACGTTACACTATGATACGGGAGTTTAAGCAAGGTAATAACGCTAGGGAGACATATAGAAAAAAATACTTCGTGTTTTTACGGTCAAGGAATCAAAACTGACTAAATTGGTTTGTAAGGTTTCGTTCTGGAAATGTACTCGGGAATTAGCAAAGATGCTAAGCACATCGTAATCTGCCATATGCCGACGCTTAGAAAATGAAGAAGATCAGTTAGGACGAATTTTGCTCTAAAAGTACTATCTGATTAAGTGGCAACAAGCCATTGCAAATAATGAGGAATATATAATTGAATAAAATTAATTTAACTTTATTATTAGTTCTTTTCTCTTTTTTTTTTAGAATAAAGATGGTATGCAAAAACTTAAATTAATTATGACTTAATCTTAAATTTGCTATATACCTAATACAGGACGTCTCCAACAGAGAAATAGAAATCGTTTACGAATATAGGCAATGTCCGTTTATTATACAACTCAATGTGTAGATCATAAACTTGGTATTAACGAACTAATGTTAGCAATATTTTCAGTATATTTACAGATATTTTTATAGATACAAATATTTAAGTAAATGCTCTGTTTATAAGAAACAGTATTAAACAACATTTACCGGCCTGAATGTCCGAGAAATTGTCATAGAAAAATATGCGTCCTACGACAGGAATCGAACCTGTATCCTATACGGAACCGTCATATAGCCTGACATGCTTTTACCGATTTCGCCACAGAGGAGCGTTCGGTCAGCTAGCTCGTTTTTACTGTTTTCAAAACTACAATTTCCCATGATTTTTCTCACGTACATTCATATCTGCTCGATGCGTATCCAAATGTAAACAAATGAAGTCACACATTATGAAATGGACAAAGTCCGACAATTATTTTAAGACATTTTTTATGTTTATACATTCTTTTTTTTATAATTGTCGGACTTTGTCCATTTCATAATGTGTTAAAAATATATATTATAAAAAATATTGTAATTAGTTTGTTTTGTGAGGTATTAGATTTTATTACTTAAATTAATTGCAGCATAAATAATTAGAGTGCATAAATATAAATTATATTCGCCACAGAAATATACACAAATCTATATAAATAATAACCACAATCTATATAAATAATAACCACAATCTATATAAATAATAACCACAATCTATATAAATAATAACCACAATCTATATAAATAATAACCACAATCTATATAAATAATAACCACAATCTATATAAATAAATGCGAATGTCAGTGTCTCACAGTTTTTCAACTTTACTTCCAGAGGCTGTAGCCCAACATATTATATCATTTTGGAATCAGGCCGATTCTGTGAGCAAATTAAAAATATTTCGGACCGGATCTGAACTCACAATCCTGAAATTTTACATTCCCAAGTTTTCATTACTGAGATTGTTTTCGGATTCCACCATCTTAGCTTCTTCTGATAAAAACAATTAAATGAACACAACTCTCTAACTTTTAAAAATCTCATCTTCTATATGAATGTTAGTGTGTCACACCTTTTGAACTTTTTTCATCAGGCCGACTCCGTGAGCAAATTAAAAACATTTCGGGCAGGATCCGGACCTACAATCCTGAAATTTTGGATTCCCAAGTTGTCATCACTGTGATTGTTTCCCACGATTTTTTACGTGATTTTTTGCGACGAATTTTTTTTTTTTTTTTGTATGATAACAAATTTTATAACTTGGAAATAAATTTGGGAATAATTGAAATTAATTGCGAAATACAGCGAAAGTCACCCATGAAATAAAAAATAATTGTTTGTATGGAAAGTAAGAACCTACGTGCATCAAATTGTCTTTAAGTGGCGACAGAAGAATTATCGTTGAACTTTTAAAATGTAGGCTTAAATATTAATGCAATACTTAAATACAGCGATCAATTTGGAGTTTTTTTTTCTGTAGTTTATTGTTGCCTATCATATACGGCGGCAATATGCATCGAAAAAAGAAATCTTCGACAACGGAAGACGAGACTTCACTCAAAAGAGCCAAGAGGGCAGCGGGGAAAAGAAAGTCCCGTGCAAATGAAAACTTAGATCAAACAGCAGCCAATCGAGATATCTCCACAGTAGCTAGCTTAATTGCCGCTCGACAGCGCAGCTTTTAAGCTAATAATCTATATTCCTGAAAAAGTTATTCCCCTAGTTTACAAGATGGGCTCATTGACATTCTATAAAAAACATTTCATTAAAAAAAGTATTCTGCTGTTTCAATTTTAAAATAAATAATAATGTTCTGATTGCTTCCCAGGGATCTTCTTTGCTTGCATAGTTTTATATTCTCATATATATTTCTTTTGTTAGTGGGCAACACGGTTTCTTTTGATGGTAAATCACAGGGCATCTTTTGTTAGTGGACCACAGGGCTTCTTTTGATGGCGATATACAGGGCTTCTTTTGATAATTGACCCAGGACTTCTTTTGATAGTGGACCAAAGGGCTTCTTTTGATGGCGATGTACAGGGCTTCTTTTGATAACTGACCCAGGACTTCTTTTGATAGTGGACCACAGGGCTTCTTTTGATGGCGATGTACAGGGCTTCTTTTGATAATTGACCCAGGACTTCTTTTGATAGTGGACCAAAGGGCTTCTTTTGATGGCGATGTACAGGGCTTCTTTTGATAATTGACCCAGGACTTCTTTTGATAGTGGACCACAGGTCTTCTTTTGATGGCGATGTACAGGGCTTCTTTTGATAATTGACCCAGGACTTCTTTTGATAGTGGACCACAGGTCTTCTTTTGATGGCGATGTACAGGGCTTCTTTTGATAATTGACCCAGGACTTCTTTTGATAGTGAACCACAGGGCATCTTTTGATGGCGATGTACAGGGCTTCTTTTTGATAATTGACCCAGGACTTCTTTTTGATAGTGAACCACAGGGCTTCTTTTGATGGCGATGTACAGGGCTTCTTTTTTGATAATTGACCCAGGACTTTTTTGATAGTGGACCACAGGGCTTCTTTTGATGGCGATGTACAGGGCTTCTTTTTGATAATTGACCCAGGACTTCTTTGATAGTGGACCACAGGGCTTTTTGATGGCGATGTACAGGGCTTCTTTTGATAATTGACCTAGGACTTCTTTTTGATAGTGGACCACAGGGCTTCTTTTGATGGCGATGTACAGGGCTTCTTTTGATAATTGACCCAGGACTTCTTTTGATAGTGGACCACAGGGCTTCTTTTGATGGCGATGTACAGGGCTTCTTTTGCTAATTGACCCAGGACTTCTTTTGATAGTGGACCACAGGGCTTCTTTTGATGGCGATGTACAGGGTTCATTCTTTTGTATATATATTCTTCTATAATTTTGCGCTGAAAGCGTCTTGGTGGCTACCTGTAAATCTCAAAATACGTCT